TCAAATAAACAAAATTTATAAAATCGCATAATAAATTATTACAAAGTTATTTGTTCTCCACTTAAGTAATTGTTTCATCTAACTTTAATTTGATTAAAAAAAATTTGAACATAAATTGTAGTGTATTAGTCTTTAATATAATCCTTCCAGATAGTACGGACAATTTCCTCACGTTGAACTTGCATTTTCTCGATCATGTGACCGAGAAAATGAACCAACATTATTACTTTGAGCCATTTGTTGGTCAATATCATCCGCAACTATATTTTCATGTTCATAGACCATAAATATTTCATCACTTCTACAATCGGTTGGTGTGAGTTAAAGTGACTATATGTTGGTGAGAATAATAAATTTTATGTCGGTGAGAATAATAAATTTTAAAAAGTAATGATGTGATTATAAATTTTATTTACATATGAAATAAATGATTAGTAGATATAAATGTGGGGTTGTTTTTAACAAAATATAAACTCGTGGATCAATTTTTGTATTAAAATATCTCAAATCATGATATGAAATTACCATGTAATTTCATATCATGGTTTTTGGAGAATATGGAATCACATCTCATGATATGGAATCATGAGATGGAATCAGTCCAAACATTGATTTCATCTCACGATACCATATCTTGATATGATATCGCATGGCCAAACGCCTACTTATTAGTTAAGTTTATCCTTAGTTATACTATCCAGTTGTTTATACTTCCGCCATTATCAAGCTTAGCAAATTACCCCTTAATTGGACGGTTACACCCAAATCAATGAAAATTATTAGATTTGAATTAAACTAACTCGATTCCCTCTTTAATCTAAACCCGATCCACTAAACTAAACAAATTCATACTCAATGACATCACCACTATTCATAGCTTCATAAATATATTTGAAGGGCTCAAAATTTATTACATTTATCAAATTGACGTGGCAACCTAAATAAAATAAAATAGAAGTATGGTTAAATTATACTTCACGTGAAAAAAAGTTAAGAGGGTGTATGGATCGATTTTTTTAAAAATAGTTGATAAGCTAAAAAAACAAAATACCCTTTTTATGACTTTTAATTTATTTTTATACGTTTTTCGGCCTAAAAATAAGCACTTAAGGAATTTTTGTTTTAATCTTTTCCAAACAACACAAAAAGAAAGAAAGAAACTTTAAAAATCAAAATACTTAAAACAACTCAATCCTATTAATTAGCGTAAAGGGCTATGAATTACCAAAAAGAATTTGAAAGTATCATGATTTATTGGAAACATACTTTAGTATATGAACTACTCACTCAATTTTAATTTATTTGTATTACTTTTTTATCGGTTTGAAAAGGAATTATTATTATTATTTAACTCTTTAGTATCAACTATTCATATGAAATTTTCAATACCTTACAATTAAAGATCATTTTAGTATATTAAACATATCCATAATTTAAAATTACAATTTTTTTAAAAAAAAAAAACTACATGTCATATTAAAACCACTGATAAATTCAAATGAAAGGAACAACAAATAGCACATACAATGACATATTTGAAAATTAACAAGATAGTTACATTCTTCTTTTGGTTGACAAACTAACAAGATAGTTACAATGTAACTAAGTACTATTTAATTTCTCATAATTTAAAGACATTTTGACCATTATTCCTAAAAAAGTAAGACATAGAAAAAGGTTATAATACATATTTCACCAGCAAAAAGTAAGTCTAAAAAGCTATCTATTACCAAAAAGGGATTGAAAGTACCTTGATATATTTGAGACATATTTTAGTATATGAAAG